TGAGTACATCCCATCTCTCCTGCTTGCCTTGAAGCTCATGATATCTGAGACATAAAAATATCACATCACTTGGGGAAATATAGTGTTATTAAACAGAAGTACTAATGGTGACAAAAAATAGATCTTAATTGTGTAGCATCAGGTGTATTTTCAGGGGTTGAATGACCTTAACAGTTAGAATTAAGATGGTTTTTCAGTGTTTCAGCAGTCATTCAAAGCCCATCTCAGACAGGCCCAGATATTTTAATTATTTGTATGCCTTGGATGGCGTGGCAGAATTATAACACAGCTTCCAACTTCAGAATTTCCAAACTTCTGTAAGGACAAACAGTTTTAAAGCTCAATTCTTGCTCAAGCCATGTCTAACATGAGCACCTAAATAAAAGTCACTGGAAGCTCTTACCTGCACGAGGAAGATGATGAGGAAGTAGAAGTTGGCGATTCTTCGGAACTGCTCGAAGAGGTTTTTCGGGAGGAAGTTCCAGAGGGTGTACTGTGGAGAGAGGGGGCTCAGAGCCAGGCTGGCAGGGAGCAGAGCCACAGGCTGGGCTGCACAGAGGGCACAGGAGCTCTCCTGCCCTCGCAGGGGCCAGGGGAGCGCAGCCAGGTGCCCGAGCAGCCCGGGGGCTCCAGTCCCCCAGCCAAGCCCAGCAGCACTGTGCAGCTGGGGCTGAGATGCCAAATTCCTGCTCCAGCCTCCAGCCCCAGCACCAAACAGCCACAGCAAACAACTTCTAAAAGGCATTTGTACACAGCTGCTTTCATTACAACATAACCCACAGTGGACATGTTTTTTCCTAATTCCCCAAACTATCTTAGAGCTGCTTTTTTAAAGAAAAAAAGAAGTGCCATGGTTGCCCACACAAATTCAGTAATAGGCTGTGCCTCGTTGTAATTTTAAGAAGGCTGCTGAATCATTTACTTTGGAAAGCATGTGGAATTTAAGAACAACATGGGAAATAATGGGTCTAATATCTATCTTTGAGTCTGCCTGGAACACAAAAAAAAAAAAGCAGTCAAGTATCAAGACCAATGTCCACTTAATTATAAAAGAGATTGGTCAGGTCCCAGGCCTAACAAATATAAAAGGAAAAAAGAGCAAGGACATAACATTCAGAAGTCAATCAAGGAAGAACTAAAATTAGTGCTAAAGCAAGCCATTTGTCAGGGAGGGAACCGAGCTGGGGGAAGGTGTCCTCACTGAGGGCCCCTCCTGCGTGCCAGAGAAACATCAGTGGGAATGCTACACAAGTTAAACACGGACAGACTGAAAGCTTTTCCCAAAAATAAACCCAGACATACAAAAACAGATAAGATCCAAGATGCACAAAGAAAGAAAGGAGAGGGAAAAGCCCCTTTGCAGCTCAAGTACAGCAAAACTGAAGCCTAAGTGTATGCTGAGCATCACAAATCCTGAGCACTGGGATACGTATCCAGCTGTGTTGACAATATGGAATGCCACTTGTTTGATATTTTACTCGAATTGGCTTCAAATCTTTTGAAATAGCTTCATGAATGTCATGGAAAAAAGCTAAGCAGAAGGCAGATGGGTGTCATCACAGTTTTCCACCATAAACAAAAGCTGCATTAATACCACATGAATGTTTCCCCCCCTTTCATCCAAGGGGATAAACAGAGCATGGTTATTTTTGTCCTATCTCAAGAAAGAAAAATCTCACAGAATAAAAAAAAAAAATAAGAGGGAATCATATTTTTATGTCCCTTTACAAAATAATACAACCCTCTTTTGCAAATTTGAGCTGCTGTTACCTCATGCTGCATTATACACCTAACCTGTCCTTTCCTCCCCAAGGGGATGCCAGAAAACTTTAAAAAACACACCAAAAAAAAAACCCCCAACCCCACAAATTTAACACGTCCATGTGCTTTGCTGTCATCCAGCCTACAAGAAAGGAGCTTGCCCACAGCCCCACTGGCATTGACAGGGTGGAAGAACAATACCAAGAGAGGCTGGGGCTGTGTGCGAGGGCTGTGCCAGGCTGCTCCTCTGCGTCCATGCTGAGGACTGGGACTCTGCCAGGTCCCGGATGGGTACGGGGCAGCAGCAGCAGGGGTGCCCGGGCGGGCAGGGGCTCACCTTGGAGGAGACGATCCGGTTGTCGCAGAACTTCTGTGCCAGGCACGCCTCGGTGTCCGGCACGGGCCGGTGCCCGACCAGCACGGTGCGTGTGCCCACGCGCTTCTCCTCGCCAGCACACTGCCCGGGGGAGAGACACGGTCAGCTCGGCGTCTCCGGGGCTGGGCTCAGCAGCTGCCAGCTGCCAGCAGCGTGCTGCTCGCTGAGCTGAGGCAGCTGGAGCACACACTCACCCCTCTGCCCAGCCAAAGGCAGGGAGGCACACGCACTGCCACGCAGCAAGGGCAGGGATGTGCCTGAAACACCTTTGGTCACCCAGCAGCTCAGCACCACAGCCTGCCCTGCACCCCACCGGGACAGGCACTGCACTGCTGCCCTGTGCAGCCTGTGCCAGGCTATGTTTCCCTCCTGGAGGAGAATGTGTCTTTATCAAGCACTTCAAGGCATTAGGAATGTCATTTAGCATCTCTACATCTCTTCCTAGTCCTGACCTGGAGAATCTCTGGGTTTATTCATGGCACTGAGGATGATGGAATCTGCACCCTCCCTTACACTCACTCTTCTGTTCAAGCCTCAAACCCATGCAAAATGTCTCACCACCACACTGGCACACACAGATTTAGTACTCAGCTCAAAAAACCAAAAGGGTCTGCTTCTGCTATTTCAAAGTCTCAGCTAAAATCACGAATGATGAAGCAGACAGTTTCACAGCACAAACTCCTCAGGATGACACACATGGTGCTGGGAAGCCAGCTGGGCTTGCTGGGGTTTAATTTAAAGCAGAATGAGATGTCACAAGTGAATGTCAGCCTGGCATCATGGGGCTCTGATGACATCCTCACTGCTGGCAGCAGGATGAGCACAGCAGGGCTGCTCTGCAGGACAGCACAGCCCCTGCACAAAGCCCCAGACACCTGGGATCAGCAGCACGGGCTCCAGCAGAGACCCAGCCACCCAGGGGAGTGACATCCCCCTGCACACACACAGACAGAGCCTCCCATCCAAAGGAGAGGATGTTAACACACTGCACAAAGTACCTGAATGCACCAAAACTACCAAAACTCCTCTATTCTAGTGTAACTCTTCATTTCCAGCTTCTTGTAACTTCTTTCAAAACCTTTCCCAACTTGTGACAAAGCCGAGGCTTTGTCCTTTTGTGACAACTGTTCTAATATTAAAAGAATATGAAGAATAATGATCTTGCTCAATGACACCTTTGTGAAAAGGAATGACTAAACACATGAAGAAAATTGTTATTTCCCTTCTGTATGCTTCTTCCTCTTTGCCTTGGCCTGGATCATGGGTTGTCTGACCACTGCAGGTCCCCAGCTCTCAGTGCTTGAGGCAGCACTGCGAGCTCTGTCTCCATCAGCCTCCAGCTCTGGCCAGCCCAGCACACTCAAGTTTCTCAGTGGACCAGAAAACTTTATTTTCAAAAACAACAGAACTGTGCAACAGTTCAAAAATCTGCTTTTCATTCTGTCCATGTCTGTCCTTTCATATAACAAAGTGTCCTTGCCACAGATGCTCCCAGCCAAGGGAGAAGACCTGGCTGGCACCAGGAAGCATTTTGTGATGCTGAATTTAAAATCACACAGTGAATTTCAAATGCCCACTAAGAGCAAACAAGGGAAGAGGGGTGAGGGGGAAGGAGTGGTGTTAGACCAGGGCAAGATTTCCTTAGAGTTCAGTTTTCAAATTTTAAAACATGAATAGGGAGGACATTTGCCAGTCTATGGCTTGAGGGCATTATCAGGCAGCAGAGCTGCTAAAACACCAGTAATATTCTTCATACTCCACTTAGTCATACTAATCCTCAACCCTACAGCTTGCCTGCTTTGAAATGCCACCAGAGCAGGTGTCAAAACTGCCAAATGCCTGTGCCAAGTCAGCTGCCCAGCACGCTCAGCCCCTGCAGATGGGGGCTCCAGGAGTGCCCAGGATCCAGCTCAGCATCCCCCATCCGCAGGCAGCTTGGCAAGGTGCAAACAAAGCCCAGCTAGAGAAAGGTGCTCTGAACAAAACCATGCTAAGACAGAAGGCCTGGGAATAACTGCTGCTTGGGGAAAGTGTCAAAAACAAAAATTTAAACAGTTAAAACTGGTGGACTGCAGCAGCAACAACTGAATGGATCCTGCTGCACCAGAAGCAGGATCAGCCCAAAGGAAGCAGCAGCTCTCCCCTTCCTCTGTTTCCCACCCATGTCTGCAGCACTTTTGATTAAAGAAGTGTTTTTACACCATGCCTATATGTGGGGAGGTGTGCTGGGAGCTCTCCTACAGCCATCCTCACACCTCCAGGGGCTGATGCTCAGAGCAGGAGGCTCCTCATGCCCTGCACCCGACAGAGCCAGCAGCAGCCACCAGCACTCCCAGCAGTGATCACCTCCACCAGCTCCCAGCGTGGGCAGGGCTGGCACACACTCCCAGCTAGGGAATGCCACCATCCTCCCAGCCACACCAGCACCACGGCAGCAGCAAACAGCACCTCTTCCAAACTACAAACTCCAGCCCAGAAAGGTTCCCTGATGCACCTGCTGCATTAGGGGGGTGCCAGCCTGACCAACCTGTGCCCGAGCAGCAAGAGGCAGAGCCATCCATCCATGCCGCAGCAGTACCAGGCAGTGAGACAGACGTGCCCACGTCTGCTCCCCTCGTGCCCCTGTCCAGGCTCCAGCCAGCGTGCCTGCTGAGCATCCCTGCAGCTCGGGGAGGAAGCGACAGCTTCCCCTGCCCGCTGGCACGGCGCTGGGAAGGAGCGGGGTGAGCGTGTGCCACTCACACACACTGGCACAGAAACCACAAAGCTCTGCTGAAAGCACTTCTGGGAAAGCTTTCACAAGGA